AACCTTGTTGTTATTGTGTTTTTAAGCAAGAGATAAAAAGAATACAACACTGTCTTAGTAGTTTTCAGTCTAGTCTCAAATGGTTCTGCTGACTCCTGGGGCGAGCTAGCTGCACAGTGCTTTGGACTGAAAGCCTTTGATCAAAGTCTTTAATCGATGGCTTTAAGTCTCTGTTGCAAAGGCATTAAAGAAGCCTCCATGATTTAAAGAATATTTATTTAGTAGAATTTTTGTACTTGGTGATAGGAAAAAGTAATGGTGACAAAATGACTGACAAGATACCAAGCAAAATGTTAACTGTTAGCCTCTATCAACGTCAGTGCTGTGTACTGTCTCTACAAGACAGTCAGAGTTTAGACATTGGAGCAGGGGTCTTTTCCAGGCCAAGGACCGCCAAACTGATGGTGAGATGGAGCTGGCACCCCCTAATATGAAATTGTGTTATATCAAACTGGTCCTATAGTCACTTTATTACAGATGGAGTAATGTAACGAAAGTAATTTCTCCTTGAGATTATTAAAGCATTTCTGATTCTGATTCTGATTCCTCGTTGATGGGACAGGTGTTGTGAATGAAACGGTGCCCAGCTTGAAAGAGCTCCTGTCTGTTGCTGAATGTGTGCATTGATGATGAATGACATCTTCTGCCTTCATTTATCTGTTTACTACAGTGTGTTGAATTCATGTTAATGTTTATCTAAAAGCATTTCAATACGTGGAAAAAATTGCAGGGGGAATATAAAAAAAATATTCTAATCAACCAAAACCTTTACGACCCCCATGCAGTACCTCCGTGGACCCCCTAGGGGTTGCGGACCCCCTGTTGAAGACCTCTACATTAGAGACTCAAACAGAATTATATTTAGCATCAACTAGCCTACAGGAAAAATAGAACATGAAACCAAAGGATAGGATAAAATCCATGGAGGTAGATTTTTCCCAAATCCTAGGGTGTAAACCAGCAGCAGCCAGCTGTTGTTTAACATATCAGTCACTGGTTTGAACTTTGAAGATGGAAAAAGTTTGTTCAAAATAAAGCTGGTTTATTTACTTACTCCCTCATGATTCTGTTTTAAGCTTTTAAACATTGGTAAAAAAAGAACATGAGTCATTCCAACTAAAAAAATAAATCACTGGTTTAGCACTCCAGCGTCTATCCTATTGATTAGCAGCCTACTATGAAGCAGTGTTGCTGCAATGGTCTGAGGGGCGTAAATTCAGAGATGCATACAGGGCTATCATGAGAGACACACAGTAAGACATGCTGAGGGATACACATGTCAACATGCCAATAGACAGTTCTTCACCCCTCTAGCTGTATGTGTGTCTATGTATTTACGAACAGATGCAGCAGTGTGTGTGCAGCATAGGAGATTAAGTCTATTTCCACCGCAGTCATGCATGATTCATGGAGTCAGCGCTGAACGCTGTCACAGCATGAACAAACAGAGAGGAGCCTGTGTGAAAACCTGAGATATGAAGGTCTATAAATGGATAAACTAATATTTAAGACCCTATTCTTGTGAAATACTGCTCCTGTTCTAAAATAAGACCCTCATCCTAATAATTCATGGCACATAATTAAACTCATAATCTCAAGTCTGCATGAATTATGCCCTAATGGCAAGTTCATGCAGCTGCCACCTTTTTCATCCCCTGAATCTAAATACGGATGCACGAAAACTCTGTGCATGTGCTACATCGATATCTGGCATGGCAGTCAAGTTGCCACTGCAAATTGCGAAGCGGGGTTTAAGCGATGACAGCCCCGGGCTAATTACTGCTAGCATGTCTGCATGCTGGACATCAAATAGAGACATTTAACTTTTGGCCAGAGCTGGACTTTGCTACTTATTAACATCGGCCTTGCAGCTACAATAAACAGTCAATAAACAAACATCTCTGTGCACAGACAACCCTGTAGCAGGATAATTATCCCTGCCTTCACTGTCAACTGTGAGAAGGCCTGTAGGCTATGAGTCGATATGGACAGAATACTGTCACAGTGGCTACCCGTCAACATATACAGGTAGGAACGGACTGCTGATCAAGTATGTAAATTAAGAAACCTCAGATGATTATGACAAGGACAAAAGCTTCCATCTTTAAAAAAATGACATTTAAGTGTTTCTAATTTATCAGATATTCTATTCCCTGTTGCTGTGACACCTGCAGAGCCTGCATGGAAAAACAAATTAAAAGCACTTCGTATCATCTTTTTACTAAAAATAGATATGAAAGGCATGACGTGGAGATGAACCCAAGGAAGACTGAGCGCAGAAACCTGGGAGCAGCAGGAAGGCAGAGAGAAAAAGATGAACTCTGCAGGCAGATGGAGGAAAAGGGAGAGAGAGAGGTATAGAGTGGAGGTGTAAACATGATCAATCCGCTCCAAACTAGGTTCAGAGAGAGACTTCCTCTCCACATTTTCAGCCTCAATGAAGCGCGACGCTAGCTACCTCTTATCTGTCATGCTAGTTTGAAGCCACACAGGCGCGTGCACCATCCGCCATGTTCTAACACCAAACAGGCATGGACTCACATGCACAAATACCTCTGCGTACCCGCAAATCCTCTGCACACATACAAGTGAAATGGATTCTTACTAGACGGTATGCAGAAATAAAACCCTTATTTGGGAACACTATGTCCAGTTAATACGCATTACTACCAGTTAAAGCCACGAGCACATTCCAGTACCTTACAATGGCGTTTAGACCCTGGGAAATTTGGGGACGTCAGCAAAACAAACATCAAGGTGGGTTTACTGGTAATTTGTGATTGACAAACATTAGTTGGAAAAATCTTAAAAAAAAAAAAATATTAAAAAATCTGACAAATTTAAGGTAAATTTTTATTCAACATCCCCCACAAAACCTAAAACTGTCTGAATATGTAAATTTAGGTAAACAAAAATAAAATTGAAATTTGTATTTGTTCCTCGCTTTCAATTCTTGCGTACACAAATGTAACATCAGATGTTTCATTTGTGAGAATAAAGGTTTCAAGTTAATAGTTTGCTATTAATACGAAATCACCACTTTAAAAGCACTATTCTACAACCCCTAATGAGGCATAACACTCCTTACCAGCAGGAGGCGGCAATGTTAAGAAAAAGATTGTTCGACAACAGCCTATAAAACGAGAAGAGGAAGAAAACCAAACCAAAACTACTTTTTCAACGCATGAAAATTTAACGTTTCGTTTTTGCCTTCTTTTTCTCGTTTAAAGAGGGTTAACGAACAACTTACAGCCGCACCTTCTCAGAAACAGTAGTGTAACATTAGGGGTTGTAGTTTCCTCCTTCCAATTTTTTAAATGATATCTGTATCTTTCAAACTTTCATTCATAAATTTAAATTTGTATCTTCATTGATTAAACATCTGAAGTTCCGTGTATGTATAAGGAAAAAAAATCTTAAACTTTATTAATGTTTATTGACTAACATTGACAAAATGACATAATCACATAAGTTTTTATTAATAGCTACCTCCCTCGTAAGCTGCATCCTTTCCCCCTCTTAAATTGTGAGGCTATTTTCTGTTCCTGCTGAATAAACCTATCACACTACAACCATGGTTCACTACGGGGATGGACTGATCAGTGATTTGAAGAAATTAGCTTTCTGCAACAGTGTTTGCACGTCAGCTATGGAGGGGTATCAGATTAGCTACTTTTATTAGTCCAGATCGAATTACATCAGTACTGCCAAGTACCAATCTATGTAAAACCAAACTGCCATGCTTTGGTGCCTAAACTCATCATTGTAACAGAGAGGGAGTGGAAAGGTGATCTATTTACCATTGGTGTACATGAGGAAACCAAGACTATATAAGGGTCTTGCTCTCTAAAGGTCTTGTCTCGATACTCCTTGGTCTCGGTTACTCTGGTCTTGACTACAACGCAAGGCTCACTTTCCAAATATGAAGCAGATTGCACTCGCTGCAATATTTTTAGGAAAGTACAAGGCCAGCAATGGAAAAACTACAAATTTGAGGAAGGTCTGGTTAAGTGCAAGACTTTTCACAAAGCTGAGGAGTTCACAATTTTCTACAACTTCGGATAATCTGGAGCTACCAACAATAGATGCAGCTGCACCATCATCTCTGTCTGCATCAGGTAAGTAAGCCAGGTTATAGGTAACTTTTACATGGTATTGAAAACGGGTATCGTCATGTACCAACACAGATTCCCAGATACTGTTCTTAAGTACCGTATCAGTTCAATTGTGAATTTGAGTTAGGTGGTTTGTAGGTCCAGAGTTTGGTTGAGGGTGATTACAAATGGATACAACACTTGGAATTTAAAAGCTGAAATTAAAGCTTTCCTTTTAATGAGCACACTAATGGTATATATAATTGTGATGTAACATTCGGCGAGAAAGTGCTTGGGGCTTGAAGACTTCTGCAAGGCATTGAACATTTACTGTATGCCACTCGTGCTCAATCAAACCCAAAGCAATTGTGATTTAAACTAATAAAAAGAGTTTGTATCTTAATCCAAAGTTTAATAAATGCCAACAATATTTATTTGCCAACTATTAGTTCAATGCAACATCTAACTGTTGGGTCATTAATCTAGACTGTCACCAAGCCTGTATGCCATGAGTGCATAGTGATTCATCATGATGGGGAGAACATTTATGTCCAGAATGGTCATTAGCTGTAGGAAGCTATTATTTAACCTTGACCAAGTCAATGCCTTCACTGGGATCATGATTTAGTTACCCAGTTGTATTGATTTGAACCAAAGTAATGGAAATGCTTTCAATCTGCACTGAATACATAACATAATTTGTACTGCAATTCATTAAACCCTCCTGTTCTTTGTAAGATTTTGTTTTATGTATAAAAATGTGAACTGGTATATTTACATTTCACTTATTATTTCAAAGACTACTTAAAAAACAGACAATGTTCCTCTTTATAAACTAGCTAAAAAAACATCCTTGAATGCACAGTGTTTACCCAGAATGCCTATCATCTTTCTGTTCTTACTGACCGCCATTTTCTGGCACTGGATGGAGGTGCTGTTGAAGCGCAGTGCAGCCACGTTGTAGGTCTGACCCTGAATGTCAAAGACGCACTCGTAGGGCTTCTGTCCGGACTGAGGTTGGGGAAGGTTCCTGGCTGCCAAGGTGATCGGTTTGGTGACTCCGACCGGCATGTAAATCTGGGTTGATGGCAGAATCTGGGGACAATCCTGGAATGACAAAGAAAAAGTCGTGTGAGGTCTGATGTGAAAACAAGATTCAGGCAATATAAATGATTTGCAAGGAACTGTGGGCTGAGAGCACAACTCCCTCAGGCCTTTTGTACAAGATATATAGTTTTTTTTCACCAATTATATCTTTATTCCAGAGCTCTGGTCATGCAATACAGTCATGTGTCTGACTGAATAACAAGGTCTATGTTTGTAGCACATTTCTAGCGATTATGCGTGCAAGTTTGGGTCTCGGGACCAAGAGGCTTGTTTAGATCATCTGGAAACTGGCCTTCAACTGAGGGGCCAAACCCCTGCAGGGTGTGTTTGAGCATGGATCCTTGTTTAGATGTGTTAGAGACCAACAAAGAGAAATTGGATTAATTAAGCATGTTTGGGACAAACATATGACAAGGCAGAATGCTTGGAGCATACTGTTTCCGAGAACTGATTTTGTGCATGTGCTGGAAGAAATTAAGTCATTACAGTGTAATTTGGCAGCGGGATGCAAATCTCATCAACATGGAGCAGAATAAGGAGAAAAAAAACTGCAAGGGTGTGAGTGACAATGCTAGTTTAAGATCCCAGCCTCTACCTGTTCATATATGTTGCACATTTCCCAAAATGGAGACGACTGACTCACAAAATAAGAAATATCCACAGACAGAGACTCCACACCCAGCTGTTTGTGTACAAAGCAGTTTAAAAAAAGATCTTTGACCAGATCCTTGTTTGGTATTCACCGCAGACGCGTCACCTCAAACCCTTTCCTTTCCCCCCTCTCCAGCTGTAGCTACCATACACTAGGAGCTAGAGTGTGTCCCCGGGGCCCCAAACACAATGCTGAAGTTTGTTCATTAGCTTACTTAGCCCTGGCTTTGTGTTTCAGATCACACACAAACACGCAACCTCCCCCCCCGTCCCCAACACATAATGAGGGAGGGGAATACTACAGGAGGAGGATGCAGCAGAGTACAGAGGGCTAGACGTATAATCAACTAGGAGGGAGGCAGGGTGAGCAGAGGAAGGGAGCAGCAGGAAAATGGATGGTTAAGAAGCAAGGAGAGGGTGAGAAAATGAAGGGAAGGACGTCTGAGAAGGCAAACAAGGGTAGTTTAACTCAGAGGAGAAAAGAATGAAAGATTGAAATGCAAGAATGACAAAAGATAATTTAAACACTTTAAAACCAGATCATCATCAAATGTGATGTTGAGTAGAAAAATATTACTTGCAAGTACAATAAAACTATACTTCAAACTATAAGGGAAAAATGGGATGTCTGGGTCCCTCTGTATCTTTTCAATCCATTTATCCATCCATCCATCTCCAGCCACATCGTGTACCGACTCCGCGACAATGTCCTACTTAATTAACTGCCTGGAGTCTCAGACAGCTCTAGAAAATTGATGGAAGGGGCCAGGGATGGAGGGAGACTGCGACAGAAGAGGAAACAGAGATTGATTTGCACTTGTGGCTTTTGAAGTCGAGTCACAGAAAGGTACTGTAAGCTGCCGTCAAAACCTGCAGACTTGCATCACTCGGGGTGACACGAGCTGGAGGGGAAAAAGAAAAGGTTCCAACACCCTGCTGGTATGTCAGGAAAGCCTCTGAAATGCAAGCTAGCACAGCCTGTAGTATAAGCAGCTGGTAGCTGTTTTATTCATCCGTTTATCGACTTTTTGTCAGCTCCACCGTCTACTTGTCGTTTCTTGGCCAGTTATATTTCCTTATACCAGCCTTTCAATTGAATCCCCTCTCAACTATTAGTGCATGTAAAGCTTTAAAATCTCAAATAAAAACGTGAACCAGGAAATTATTTCTATATATTAAAAAACAGTAAAAATTGAGATACTTTATAAGTAAAAACATTTAAATCTACCTTATGATACCAAAATGTACTGAGACATGGATTCCCTATAAAAAGGCGTTCTATCAGCTCTTATCTAAAGGTCTTTTTGCTGATATCTACTGTCATGACATGCCTATAATTTCCCATTTTGTCAAAACCTTCTTCTGTTTCATAAAAAGAAACAATTTCAAACATTCATATCAAGGTGCACTACTTTTATTTAAGCATCTATAATTGAATTCCCTTTAGATTTTCATTGAATAAAATTTAAAATAGTCACAAAACTGCTTAAATGTCAAACATAACTGAATAATGTCATTTTCTTTTCAATCTTCTTTGAGCCCAGTGACATCAATAAATCTTAACTATCGATAAGGGTAGCTGCTGAGAGGTTAGTTATTATCAGAGTCACATCTGCTTTGCTTTATAGTCGATTTGAAAGATAAAAAGTCATATAAAGTGACCAGCACCTGTTCCAATAGCATTTAAGCATGCAGAATTCTGCAAACATGGTTTGTTCTCTAGAGATCTGGGAATATTAGTTTGGTAGCACCACAGAGCGCCATCTGTTTAGAGCGACACACCAGTGGCGATGGTCCTCTAGCTTCAAGGCTCGGCGTCCCTGAGAGCAACTGGCAGCACTGCACTGTCACAAAATTAAACCGTTTCCTCTGATGTTTGAACCATCAGATTGACAAGTCATGGAGTTCCTTAAAACAGCAAGACCAAATCATCTCCCTTTAGATTAAATCTTACAACGGCACCAAAAATGTATTTGATCAGGTAAGCATCTTATCTGCTTTGTTGCCTAACAACTTTTAAGCAGAACTCAAACTCTGGGTGTCATGACTCATTCAGGGACAGATCCGACCCTCTCAGCCTACATCGATGATTTCTTAAGAAGAGCAGCATGCTGCGAACATTTATATGCACCAACTGCTGAATAAAAACCTAAAGATTATTTTTAATATATCTTTAATTAAGCTAATAGTTGGGTCAGAAGTTATCCAGTGTTGCTTTAACAAGTCAATTCATGCATTTTCTGCACTACTTTTAGTGGTTAATAAAGCAGAAGCTTTTGAAAACAGCAGCAGCTCAGTCACAGAGAAGTTACAAGCATTTCAATGTCATGCAGCTTTCAGATTAGTTCAAGAACAATAGAAAGTTGCATTAAATGGGTTTTCTTAGCTGGGGAACTGAATCCAAGTCCAGCTGCAGGTGTAAAACACCTCAGTGATGGACTTCTAAAGAAGGAAGAGCTCCATTGCTTCTCCGTCTGACAATATGATGGATGATTCCAGCAGGTACATCACTGCAATGGGGGAAAAATAGCCTAGAAGGGGAAGATTTGTCAACTTTGTTCTCAGTCTCTTAGTTCTAGAGTTAGGAATCCTGGCTGCCGTAGGAAAGTCATTTTAAGCAATTTATTGCTTCCCACTATGTGGGGACAGTTTGAGAAAGACAATTTCCTATTTTTAAACTTAAGGTCAATAAGGAAATGCAAGATGTGCAAAAACTTGACTCCTCTGTCAATCTACCGACCTGGATCATATGAAGGATTTTAGGATGTTTAAGGGAGGCAGCAAGTCAGGCTTTTTTTTCCAACATCAGTGTCTGACATCATAAATGCTATTCTAAAGACATAAACACGCCTCTAAAGCATGAACACAGCCTTCCCAAGACAGTGGAACGTAAGGCTGTAAAAATTGGGCCAACTCAAAATTAAATATAACGTATCAGAAACAGTGTTAATTGAGTTTATGTGTGGGTTAATGCGGGTTTCTAACTACTTCCAGCAATGTAGTACATCCCTTTAACATTCACCACTGCCCTCGTCTCTAATGCCGCATCCGAAACTGAGAGGATTGGAATTTATAAGAAAGAAAAAAAGGGGGGGAACTGAGGGAGGGAGATGAACAGAACACCATTGTGCAGGGAGAAACAATTTCATCAGTCTTTGTGACAGGTGCCAAAACAGTTCAAAGCCTGCATTAGGGCTACACAGTACAGAATACACTGAAACAATATTTTACCGTGGGGAACACTTTGAAGCTGGAGGACAGCTTTTCCTTTTTTTTTATTCTACTTCCTTCCTTTTCCGACTTCTCAGTTTATTTCATCTGTGAAGATGGATGATTTGGTTTTCTTTGCCAGATGTGACACAGCATCTGGCAGATTTAAGGCTGACCAACAGGCAGGAAGAGAAAGGGATGTGCATCCGTGCGTCGTTAAGACAACATGTATTTTTGTGAGTGTGTGAATCCAACTTATCGGCTTACTGCCAGACAGGGTGTGTATAATAAATGCCTCAGGAGCACTTAAAGGTATTATATCGAGTCAAATGTCTCACACAAGATCAATAAAAGAGCAAATTGCAATTTAAGCTTTCCTTGACAAACCGATTCTCCAAAGCATGAACTGTTTACACAGACCAGCAGCTCGCTTCATAAGGGTCACTTCATCGTGCCGCATAGAAACAGGTAAGACCTGCTTTTAGTAAAGATGTGTGCATCGGTGGATCACAGGAGATGCGTGAAAGAAAGCATGACACAGATGGTTTTGTCTTCAAGAGAATGCAGCCCAAAAAACATCTGCTCAGCTTCAGGATTAGCGATTACTGGCTTTTCATTTGAACATCTTTATAAACTTTTTTTTCTCTGTTGACACATGTAAAAGCTCAAACAGAAAACATGCATGTAGCGAAATCCAATATTAGCAGTAAAATGCATATTTTCACTGATCAAACAAACGCTAAACAGAACTGTTATGGATGCATGCAGAGGTGTGTGTTTGTGATGGCTGACCTCCAAGTAGCCAGTGGGGTCATTTTAGCTCGACATATTTGTTATACCTCTAGGGCTGCCTGAGGCCAGCTCTGCATTCCCAAATTCTAATGGCATGTATAAATATGTAGATTTTAAAGAGGAAATGCAAACATTTCCTCAGATGTTCCAATGTTATATTCTGAAAAAAAAAAAAAAAAAGTTTTTTTAATTAGTTAACAGGTTAAATAACTAGCTGAATTATTTTATCCATGTACAAAATCAGAGATTATGCAGCTCAGCTTCTCTTGGCCTCAATGATTCCTCAATGTTTCCCCCATATATTGTGAAAGGATTAAGAAGGATGTGGCACTAAAGATTGGTGCATC